ATAATTTTTTTAAAATTAATTTTCTGTTTACTACTGTTCAGGTCAAAGAAAATATACACGCCTTCAAAGGTGATCCCAAACGCATAACACTGTTTGGTGAGGGGGCTGGCAGTTGGTCGGTAGCGGCGCACATAATATCCCCGCTGACCAAAGGCCTGTTCAATAGGGCGATCCTCAGCAGCGGTGCACTCCTTGAGTTCAAAAACAACGGGTTTCTCAACAAAACCGAGGCTTTGAAACAATCCAAGGAAATGGCGAAACAGTTTGGGTGTCAACTGAAGGGCATGTTTGCGAAGAATTGGATGGAGTGCCTCAAAGATCCTAAAAAAATAAACCCTAATGAACTCAGCAAGTACACCAGCTTCTTTGCTTACCCGGTCTATGGCACTGAATACCTGCCCTACAACGCACAGACAGCTTTTAAAAAAGGCAAATTCAGAGATGGTATGCATAGGGTCTGGGATGTCATGTGAGAGGTTAAGGGAATAATGCTTTGATTCTCATATAGACATTGAGTTGATGGCCGGTGTGACCACAAACGAGGGCCCTATAATCACAAAGTTTGTCTACCCGGTCACTAACATACAGTCCATAGCCTCGAAACAGGACTTCCAGTTCACAGTCAATCGGATGCCATTTGACGGCCTAAAGAAGGATAAAATAATAGACTTTTATATCTCGCGAGACAAAGACCCGTTCGCTACCGAGAGGTTTAACACGGCTTTCAACGAGTTTTACGCCGACTTCCGGACGGTGTGTCCGACGTATCTCTTCGCACAACTGTTTGCCAAATACTCATCCGATGGGAACGTCTACTTCTATCAGTACACCAAACGTCCCGTCGCTCAGTGCGAGTCACACATGAGTCGATGCCATGTCAGCGAAGACATGAGTTTCGTGTTCGGAGAGCCCGTCCTCTTGACTCCGCCCGAAGCGCCGAAGCCATCGGCTGTCAGTACTATAACCACTGCTATAGTGGCCCAACAAAAGGCACGACTGGCCGCCCAAAAGGTACGACTGGCCGCCCAAAAGGTACAAAAGGCTAAACTCGCAAAACAACAAAGAGCTAAGGCTGCTGCCCGGCCTGTCAAAGTTCCCGTCACTACGCCTGTTCAACAGGTAGTTGTTGCACAACCGGCCGATACGGTTCTACCAGCGGCTGGTCAGGAACAGCCTGCCAGCCCTCCAGCAGATCCCAATGCCGCCGCTCCAGTAGGTGATAGCAATCCTCCTCCCCCTCAAGATCCCAAAGCTGCCCCACCCGCTGTTGCTCCGGCTGATGGTCAGGCGCCGCCTCCCGCTCCAGAAACTAGTGGACAGCCGGTCGAAGTGACAACGGGTGCACCCATTGGGGGTGAAGTGCCGCCTATGGCTCACAAATTAAAACCTTTAGCCGCGGCTAAAGTTATTGTCCCCAAACCGGCTCATGAAGCCAATGATACCGAGGATACCGATGCTGTCACTGATACCGCTACCGAGGATACTGTGCTTAAAGAAAGTGCGCCACTACCTGCTCCTGACACTACAGCTGTAGCAGCACCTGTATCAACTGATCCGCCATCCACTCCATCTCCCATTGAACCAGTAGCTGGAACAGTAGTGGCGCCGGTGGCTGACACTCCTGTTACAGAACCACCACAACCACCACCTCAAGAAGTAGCAGCGCCTGTAGCCGGAGTCCAGGCTGTACCAGATGCTGCCAGTGCCCCACCACCCAGTGATGCCCAACCTGTGAGCGAACCTCCAGCTCCGGTTGTTGGTGCCGGGGCTGCTCAACCTATACCAGAACCTATAAGTACAGCCGACTGGAGTGAAGGTGCGACACCGGACCCCATGATAGAACAGCCAACCGATGGTAATAATACCGAGGTGAAAGTGTTGACGGCCGCCGATCTGCTCAAAATGATAATACCGGAGCCGCCCATCGAAACCGGAAGTGATTCAGAATTTAGTAAAAGAGTAATGACTTTGTGGACTAATTTCGCCAAAACTGGGTATAAATCGCACGAAAACTAATGAAAGATTTTTTGTGAGATAATTGTTGTTGTATGTATTGATTGATTGGTGGATAGGATGCCGACGGATAAGAAAAAGTGGCCGAAACTGAAAAATCCTGTCAAAGGATTGTTTGGCAAAACTTCGGCCAAATTCTATGAGTTGAATGCAGCCGTCAGTCACCATATCGTGGAGAATGCTTTTGAGGAGACTTGCGATACATTTTGGAAAGACTATTACCAATGATTTAATATCAATCAATTGTATTCACTGTTTGTGTCCAATCAATTATTATTGCAATCATATCTGATTTTTATGGTAAAGTTTATGTTGTACTTGTCTAAATACAAAGTGGAATTATACAGTAGTTTGAAAATGTTGTTTATTTATTGGGTATTTGACATTTTAGAAATCTATAATAGTACTGTAACAGTTTGACATTTGTGAGATAACCTTACAATTGTTAGTAAAATTAGAGAACAAAGTTGACTTAATTAGTATAAGTTTCACATAAATAGGGATAATTAATACAGTATTATCTATATTATTTTACTTTTATGTTTCATGAAAGTAAAACTTTAGCTAAATACTGTATAAATAAATTATATCTGGATTGTTTAGTAGATTAAGTTGATAGTGTAATAGGCATCAGTGTAATGGTTTTATCGTTTATTTTCTCAATACTGTATACCTTTTGAAGTTCAAATGAAATCAATTTTTAAAGTTTACAAAGAAGTTTATTAAAATAACGTATAATTACTTTCTGTCGGAAACTGATGTCATAAACAGTATATTAGAGAATATGTTATTTAAAACAACTTTTAATTTTCTTGTCTATAATTATAATTTATTTGAACAATGTTTACGTGATTATCATTTGAGTTCATGAGATAAAAGGTTACAATAACTACTGCATAATACAGTGTCGTATGACTTATTATGATTACAGAAAATCCTTTCTTTTCTTATATTTCAATCTTTATATTTATACTAATAATAGAAAATATATTTATTTAAATCAGTTTTTGTTTGAGTTGTCATTTGTGCACATAATATGTCTGTAATTATAGCGCTCTGATAGCATCAGTCTGTCTCGTATTGAGTGTCAAAAACTTTTCTGACTTTAAATGAGTAATTATTTTATAATTACATCACTTTTTTGGTAATTAATCTCATTTTAAAAATATTATTTCTTGTTTTTATGCAAAATAAAATGAATTATTATTTTAAATCTGTGGAACGCATTAGAAATTCACCGGGATAGCCAAGCTGCTTTTACTTTACATTATAATAAAATATTCTAATATTTAACTAAATTGTAGTTTTATTTCAAATAATAAAATATTTATATTTGTAATTATTTGTAAATATTAATAATTTATTATTTCTAAATGAACCATTTTTAAAATACAAATATAATTTAAGGTACCGTATATTATACATAAATAATATCTAAATATAAAATTAATTATTTATACAGATATATTAATTTTGAGCAATATAAAACCATTAATCAATTGTTCATTACTGCTTTTACTTCATGTTTTTAAATAGTGAATATTAATTTCTCTATAGTCTACTATTTGTTTGTATAGTTGTAAACATTTGATTCATATCTAAATCTATTGTAAGTGCATAATTAATTATTATGATACAAATTGATTTTTAGTATTCAGATTCATTAAGGAATTGCATGAATTAATGTAAGTAGTGTACATTTTATGTAAATTAGTTGTTTCACTATTTTAGTGTAAAATTTAAGTCATTTAAGTGAAATAACATTAATAACATTTAAAGCTATTTAAATACATTATGTTTTGAATTTTAATAAATCTCAAGTTTTCACTAATTATATGTTTTTGAAGTATAGCTTTAAATGTTTATGAGTACACATAAACTTACTCTTAGACACTTATATCAATTTATGTCTGGTTATAAATAAAAACAATAATATTACATAAATGTTACGGCTTTTGAAACTACATTTATTGAAAAGTCAAAAACATACCTGATTTAAAGAATAAGATATTTAGTTATTTAAGATAATTTAAACCCTTTTCAATGTAAATTGTCATTTGAATTGCCTATTTGTACCATATAACACTATATAATACAGTAATACTGTATTTGTAAAGTAATAAAGCACTAAATAAAGTTTTTTAGTTAAGTATAATGACAAACTATTTAATACTTTATTAAGATATCTCTAAACAATTGAATTTTTTTTATCCCATTACCAATGATTACCGGCACTGTTTTCTGTAAATTATTATATTTTAAAATTTAAATACATATATTTTATAAAATTTGCTCAATTCTGTGCACAAATGATCTCTCTATCCCTT